TGGGATGGGCGGGCGCGCGCCTGGGTCCCTTGGGCTGGGGGGCGGGAAGGGAGCCCAGCGCCGCCGCAGCGCAGCCGCCGGTCGCCCTCAGATGCAGAGGTCGTGAGGTGATGTTATATTTCAAAATGAGGGGATAACACCACTGTACCCTGCAGCATCCGTGTCACCCGTTGTGAGTCTGAGTGTGTGTGTTTTTTACCCATAACGGGTGCCCTTGTCCACTTGCCCGTCCCGCGTCATCGCCTCCGTCCCAAAACCGGTTACCAGAGGCTGCGCCCAGGCGTTTGTTCAGTCGCAGAGTGGTGTGGCATAGCCAGAAACCACCGCAGCCCTTGAGGTATAGGGTGCAATTTGTGTGAAAAATGGTTATAAATGCAGCTGGTGGCTTGGAGGACACGGAACTCTTCAAACATTTGATTTTTCCTCCTGTCTAAAGAGGATTTTTGTAGAGCTTCCATCATATGAAGATGTGGAGGCCTCTGCATCTGTAGAAATTGTAGCAATTTCACATTATTTGAAAACTTTTTTATTTTGCTTAAACTTTTAGCTAAATAAATACTGGAAATATTGCCTAATAACGTGTGTGAAACAGCTATGTGCTTGAATGTACATATAACGTTGGAAAACACACGTGCTTTAGGCTGTTAGGAGCTCAGTGCCATCCAGTGGAGTTTTGTGCAGTAGAGTAGAATGGCAGAAAAAAAAAAGGTCAAATACAAATAGCTGAGGGCTAAGGGGAAAAGGATTCATAATGGCAGTGTGATCTTATCTGCTATGTAAAATAGTCTTAAGGCTTATCTGAAATAATCAGATACTCCTTAAGCAGGAATCTCAATACAATTTGCCTAAGTGACTTAAGTTTTTGCTGTCTTGGTCCTATGATATTTTTGTTCACTTTTAAATAAAATAATGTTTATGTTGTAATTCTTGTCTTCATATGCTTAGTTTTGTCCTCTGGTTTCTTTTACACTGTTGGCTAAATTAAAGAACTCTTTATTAACTGTGTTTGTTTCATAAATTGTTACATAGAAGGTCATGAGGTGGTTTTGACTAGTTTGACCATCTTGAGTCTTGCATGCTAAAATGTATTTCCAGCCCTTCAGTCGTTCTGGTGTTTCCTTTCCTGGTCCTTCCTGTTCTTTCAACATCTGTCACAAATCCTGGGTCACCAGAACAGAGAGTTGTGTTCTAGCAGTGCATGTTCTAGGGCTAAATACTTCATGTGATTGCTATTTGTGTTTAGGCATCCAGATATAACCTTACTTTATTATGGTGCAGTATAGCACAAGGGGTTCTTGTTCAGTTCACCACCAAGTAATTTCTAGATCTATGTCCCAGAAACTTCTGTCCTATAAACATTGCTGATTTTTCTGTTCTTGCTGGCAGGACCTCTTATGTGGTCAAATACAAGGAGACAGAATTTAGTGTAACTGCTTTCAAAGTGGTAATATAATTTAGTGTGACATAGGCTTATATGGGAAGTTTATATCACATTAAATTCTATTGATAGATATATAAATATATATGTTTTATTTACATATATATATGTGTGTGTGTGTGTCCATACTTTGCTGTTCTTTAGCAAGGAGTGCAATTGTCTGTATAGTCATATTCCAAGCATCACTCAATGTTATTTTTTGTTTGCCCTGTAGATAGGGGAGAATGGCTGCTAAGAAACTAAGAAGAGCAAGGTTGTCTCAGGAGCTCTGTGAAAGGCTGAGTCGCCATCAGATCACTACCTGTCAGGTGAAAGGGCTATTTTATGTTTGTGGGGTGTGTTTTTTGGAGGTTCTTTTTTGAGTTGGCATTGTGTTTTAATGCATGTACTATTTACTTTTTTGTAGTTTAATTTACAGGGATCTTTTAGGGGGCATTTCAGGTTCCATCTGGCCTGCTGCCTTCTAAAAATATTGATAGATAGATGCCTAACTAAAACATTTAAACTTGTATTTACTTACTACCTTCCCTTCTAAAGAACCTGAAGATGCTTTATTTTAGCAGGGGTGTGCAGCTGCTACTTGTATGGAGCAAGACATCCATTTGTGGACACTTCACAAAACCACAACTATGCTACGTAATCTAGTGAGTGAATGTGCTGTGATGTCAGGTTATCAGTTATGGGTTAATTATGTGGTATTCTCTGAAGTTGTTCTTACAAATGCTTGCCCAGAGAGCCAAGCAGCCCAGTATATTTCAGTAGAATGCATCATAAATGCAGGATCTAGCCTTCTGACATGATGTATTTTGGATGTTTTTCATAGGCTGAGACTTCTGTGAGCAAAAAGGTGTTTTTGCAATTCCATTTCACAGTTTTGAGAGGTTGGTCCTTTGACTCCATGTCCTTTAAAATAGGATTACAATTTATTTTAATGTACTGTCATCAGAGAAAGGTAGGTAAGGTATAGCATAGTAGTGCATAACATCGCACAGCTGGTAAACCTGTGGAATGTATACCAGTTGTGTATAAATGGCAGCAGTTTAGTCCTCAGTCTTGATCTCGAGGTTGAACTCTCTAAACTGTTCTGTTGTGTTTCAGGACTTTTTATGTCTTTCCCTCTTGGAGCTAATGAAAGTGACGGGACAGAGCTACTATGATGTGCAGAGGCTTCTTCGTAAAGTCAGCCAGGCTTGTGCTCCCAAAATGCAGACAGTAAGTATGCTTGTGATGGTTCCGGTTTTAATACAATATCTGGGAAAAAGCTGAACAGTGCCACTCATCTCTTTGCCTGGGAGCTTTGTGATGTCTCAGTTTGATTGCACAATGAAAAAATACTTTTATTTTAAAATTTCGACCCCTGAGGTGCTTTAGTTAGATGCAGTGACTTTTATTAGGCATTACAGCCTCAAGAGATTGTTAAGGCTTGCAGAATTGGTTCTGAGTGCAATAGGGAAATACAGCATTCTGTCTTGCAGTCCAGCAAATAAAAATTGCTTCCAGTTTGGACCCTGCAACTGAAGAAAAAAAACCCCATTGTTTAATACAAGCAAAGAATAAGAATTTCAGCATAAATTGGTTTTAGACATAAAATTGGGGCCTAAAAAATAACTTCTTGAGAATTTTTTCCATCCATGTAAATGAGCTCTGTAGTGTTGTTTAGGCTACAGGTAGCCTAACTAGGGAGAGTGCAAGAAGGAAATGGATGTTAACTGCAATGCAGTGGCTGGGTTTTGTTTTCTTTTTCGGCATTCAGGTGAAAAGATGTCAAAAATGGTGTCTTTTAGAACCCAAAAGATGTGGACAGTTCTGACCTGTGTTGATGGAGCCTGCTTTTTTTCCTGAAAAAATAATCCATCCCAAAGTTTCTTATGTGTAGTTGGCATAGTAATTGTAGCAGTAACTCTGTGAAACTTTTAAATTCACAAATGTACTGCATTAGTGATGTGCAGAATTAATATGGCTTATACTGAATGGATTAAAAGGTAGCTAGTTACTCATTTTCCATCAATAACTGTTAGTAATCATCAATAAATTGAAGACAGATGGAAGTTTTAAGTACAGTTCTAGCATTTGCTTTTGCCTGTCATCCACGCATCGCTATTCAATCGAATTTCTTTGCCGAGAAGTTTGGCAGATACTGAAGTTTGTCGGACAGCAGTTGTCAAGGACTGTTGCTACAGAGCCAGCTGACAGATGAACAACTATGTAAGTGCATACAATACAGAGCTGTACTTCCAGAAACAGAGGATGTTAGCTGTTTTTAAGGGATGTGGCTTGAATCTTTGCAAACACAGGATTTCAGGTGGACTTCAGGTCAGAGTGACTGATGTAACGTCATGACTGATATATCAAGAAGGTTTGATGATATCTTTGAGTAAATATAAATAACAAATTAGGTAATAGGAATTATAACATTGAAGGCACTGGCAGGAAAACTTGAGAGTATGCCGAGATAAAACTCTTAATTTCTGGAAAACTTGTCTCACAGTATGAAGTACAGAGTGAAGCCTACTGAGCTCATCAGAGAGGAAGTTACTTAAGGGGTGACTTGATCATATTACATACTGAGTAGAAAAAGATAATTATATTAGAGATCTCTAGAGTCTAGTTGAACAAAAAGCTAAAGAAGATCCAGTGTCTGGAAGATAAATTAAAAAATGAATCCCTGAAATGGGAAATCATAAGAAAATCTTTAGAAACCAATGTAAGTTACCACTGGAAAAGATTGTCTAAGGATATGGTAGTTTTTAATTCTCTTGGTCTCTTGATTTAACAATTGTTTGTGAGTTTGTTTTTTTACTGAAAGACAGAATGATTCAACCCTGATTTTGTGGGTTACATACAGAAATCACTGGGTAAAATTTTAGAGTCCGTGTTCAGCAGGAAAGCCAGACTAGGATATTGTTTCCATGGTCTACAGGGTTTATTTCCAGTCTGCAGGGTTTAAGTCCTGTCAGAGGTTAGGGGAAAAAGAAAAGATTAAATGAAAATATGTTGCAAATACTTCATCAGTACATGTACTCATGTTTAAAGTGAATCTGTATGTGAACTTTGATCCCATTAGAGTAAGGTAAAATTAATTGGTTTTCATATTGGCGTGTTCTGTGTCTTGAAAGCTATTTTTTGTATATTTCTCCTTAATAGAACTGAAGAAGAGAGGAGGTGTGAATGATTTTCAAATATTATTCTACTATGCTACCTATCATAACATAGGGGAGAGCTATGGCACAAAAAAGGAATGCGCTATATAAGTTACAAACTATCTTATCTTAGCCTGCTGGTAGACCTAGCTGGAAATTTTTCTGTTCAACTTCATAAAAAAATGCTCACTTGTTGGCGCAGCAAATATGGACTAAACCATCTAGGATTCAGTGGTGTGGTTATTTAGTTATTGATTCCTGTGGAGGTGCTTCCATAGTATGTCATGTTCCGGCAGACTGTCTTCAGACCAGGATAAATCTGATGTCTGCATTTCTCTCTGGCATGGAGAAATCGGATTTTCTGGAGTCAGTCATGGCAGATTATGGCGGGGCACAACTGTCAGAGGGCTTCGAGAATCTCTGGTTTTAGGCCAGGAGTCTGATGCCTCTGAGAACTCTTAGCTATGACTAGAGCAACAACCTTTAGATCTTGGATTGTTCCTTTTAAAATCAGACTTCTGATGTTCAGGGCGCTCAGTGGTTGAGACATGAGTCAGTTTTAGCAAGGTGAAAGCGAGTGCTGTTTCTTTTGAAAACATCATGCTCTGGTGCTGCAGGATCAGCATGACTGTTTTTTTATTTCTTCTTTGTCCGATTTAAATTGATTCTCCAAATGGAAATAATTCTTACGAACTAGAATTCCAGTCTCAGGCCAGTTCCTCTAGTCAGTGGGGAAACTAGAAATTAAACCCTTTTCATTTCTGTACCTGTTCTGTCTTCTTGACTGGTCTTCCTCCGAAAAGTGGGATGCTATGAATGGCTACTGGATCAGTCCAGACTTGTTCAAAGACTTTGGAATCTTTTGCAAACCTTTCCTTGAACCTGGGTAGTTTCAAATTGGTAACAAATGTTAGCTAGGGACTTCTTGATTTTAGGTTTCATGTGGATATTCTGCATTGGTTGCTAACCACATGCAGTGTTTCCTTATTTAAAAGTTGGAGTTTTATGGGTTAAAAGCAAGCATTGGTGAATAGGAGCAGAGAAAACCTGACATAAAAGGCTTATTTTCGTTTAATATTATGATGAGGGAGATACGTAAACATTTTATTTTACTCTGAGCTAGAAATGGGATATAAATGTAATGGAGGGTGATGGGCTAAGAGGGCACTATAACTGAGGATAGGAATAGTTTGCTCTTTGGCAAGTGTTAAGACATTCTAGGTTGATGAAAGCAAGTGTGAGCAATTTGCAATTTCCACTAAAAAAGGGTGTGTTCTTTTTTGTGTGTTGTTTTCTTCTGTGTTTTTATTTTTTCCTACTGTTGTAGGCTTATGAAATGAAACTAAGGAAATCTGTCAATCCCTCTTCAGCCTTTTTGTCCACCACACTGCATAATTTGGATAAAGTCTTGTATGGTGGAGTGCCCTGTGGATCCCTCACGGAGGTAACTTGTTTAATATATTTTGTTACAATCATACATCACACCTAGAAATGAAAAGTCACAGATGGGTTGGACTGTCTTGGGTCAGGCAATAATAATGGGCATATATTAGGGGTTCCTTAGCAAACATAAAGGCAGAGAGCAGTTAAATATGCAGAAACTGAGTTTCTAATTTAAGCCTGGTTCTGGAGATTTTTGAAGAGCAGTTTTGCAAGGGTCATGAGATCTGAAGTAGTGTCAAAAGTTGGCAGCGCTGCAAGTGTTCTTCAGCATGACTGTTAGATGAAATTTTAGTAGAAAGCTATCAAGTGTCTGCTGCTGCTTTGATGCTGTACTGCAGCTTGTGAACACTTTCGGGCCATGTTCTTTTTGGATTCAAGTGATTTTGGAACTGAATTTTAATTTGCTCTTTTGCAACTTAGTGGAGCATTGCTGACCAGCAGATTGCCCTTCAGTATTTTTGTTAGTAGGCAGATATTCTAAGTCTGAGAGCAGTTCTCTCCAAAAGTATGCTGTTTGCAGCATTCACTTCCTGACTGGTGTGGCTAAATCATTGTCTTCCTGTTACTCTACCCAGCAGTGAGGGTGGTTGGAAACTTGGAATTTGAGTACATGAGCCACAAGGTTAAGACTTGTGGTGATAACTTCTACAGCCAAAGCTGCTTGCATTTTGAGTGCCAGAGGGACTGTCTCAGACCATTTTTTCCCAAACCACTATTAAGTTTTAAGTTGGAAATTAAATCATAACTGAAATTTTGTGGTCAGATGTCAGAACATTTGGCCAACTCCTCTGAGGAAAAATTAAAGTAATGACTTTGTGAATATTGAAGAGTTTAATCCCCTGGTAGCTGAAGAAGAATTAGCTCCTTGTGACTTCATCCAAACCCTACAGATGTGCCAGAGAAAATAATATATAGCTTATTGAAAAATAAAAGTATATTTTGTTAGGCAAAGATAAATTAAAAACTGTTGTAGTCTTCACAGTTTTTACCTGGATGAACTTGATTTTTTTTTCAGAGCAAATATAGAGTAAAACAAACTGAACAAACTCTTTGCAGACATTTGATTTAAATTATATTAGAGGCATTTTAGGTTTTTGTGTGTTGTTTTTTTTGTTGTGTTGTGTTGTTTTGTTTTTTTAACCTAAGATGGTATTGTTCAAAACACTTACTGAACCAGTGGTAGCCACAATACAATGTCATAGTTCTTCTAAATTGTTCACTGTGGATTATTTAAAATCCTATTTTAATGCCCTTTAAAGGAATGCTGATAAAAGATGAAGTATTGTTGTCTTTGGAAATGGAAATTCTCTCTTGTTCCATTGGATTGCTACCTTGTGCTAGCTCATACTGCAAGATTCCCTGTCTTTCTTTGATATTATGCTCATATCCTCAGACATTTTTACAGCATCTCTGCTGAATTAGCTCCTGCATCATCCACTGAAATAAATGTGGATTCCAATGCACTTCCCAGGGAAGGCTGAAACTACAAATGCTTTTATGAGGTCTCTACACAGCTGTCCAAACACTTTATCTGGATTGATGCCCTCCCCTCATTCATTTCGAGTCTTTGTTTTAACTAGAAACAGCTGGTGAGATTCCTTGGCTGTCACAGTCTAAGGAATGTGTATTGCCTCTGCAGTTTTTATAGATGCTTTAGGTTCATACTAAAATGTGGCAGCTATTGTTGATATGATATTTTGTAATTTAAGTCCACTCGATGGAGGACAGATAACTGCATAAATATGACCGGATCCAGATCTGTAATTTACTAAATGCAGTGTGAGCTTCTAAACAAAAATCATCTAATGCTTCTCTTGTGTTAAAGCTTCATGAAGATTGACTGATAAAGCTTATTTTTCAGGCCTTGTTTAAAGACAAAAGTGATTAAAGTGATTTTAACCAACTGTTAACAGTAGCCAATGTGTAACTGTAGCTAATGCAGTCCCTTGGTGTTTTGCTGTAATTTTTTTGTGCTTCAAGTCATGCTGCTACTACTGAAACCATAGCAGTGCTGTAATACGTTGTGAGAAGCAAAAGGTGACCTGGCGATGTGTGCTTGCAGCCCAGAAGGCCAACCGTATCTTGGGCTGCATCAAAAGAAGCGTGACCAGCAGCAGGTCAGGGGATGTGATTCTGCCCCTCTACTCTGCTTTCATGAGACCTCACCTGGAGTACCGCGTCCAGCTCTGGGGTCACCAACACAAAGAGAACGTGAACCTTTTGGAGCAAGTCCGGAGGAGGGCCATAAAGATGATCAGAGGGCTGGAGCACCTCCCCTGTGAGGCCAGGCTGAGAGAGCTGGAGTTGTTTAATTAGAGGAAGAGAAGGCTCCGAGGAGACCTTATAGCAGCCTTCCAGTACTTAAAGGGGACCTGCAGGAAAGCTGGGGAGGTACTTTTTACAAGGGCAGGTAGTGATAGAACGAGGGGGAATGGTTTTAAACTAAGAGAGGGTAGATTTAGTCTGGATATTGGGAAGAAATTCTTCACTGTGAGGGTGGTGAGACACTGGCCCAGGTTGCCCAGAGAAGCTGTGGATGCCCCCTCCCTGGAGGTGTTCAAGGCCAGGTTGGACAGGGTTTTGGGCAGCCTGGGCTGGTGGAGGTGTCCCTGCCCATGGCAGGGGTTGGACTGGATGATCTTTAATGGCCTTTCAACCCAAACCATTCTGTGATTCAATGATTCTGTGAAAGGGTGTTTGTACTTAAAAACAAACTATTGTGCATTTAGGCTCAAAAATCAGTTCAATTTTGAGTGTCTGTCGCAGGGTTTCTTTTCTAATTTTAAACAACAGCTCTGTATTTAAGCTTTTCATATGGCATTACAAGGTATTTTGAGGAGGTATGCTTCCTTCTGCAGTTTAACTTCACTGGAGAGGCTTACTTCTATCTTGCTTTATTATTTGGTCCCTACTAGCATCAGAATGAACCCATCACTCTGTTTTTAGTGCCTAAAGTCACCTCAACTTTGTATTTGCTCTTTTTCAGCCCTCTTGGTATTTAAAATGTCATCATCTCCCTTCCCAGAAGCAGTGACAGTGTGATATAGTATTTAAAGGCCCGTTGTAGTAGTAATGAACATATGATTATCTGGACACAGAGCCCAGCATTCATTTGCAATCTCTGCAAGATCTGCAATGGATAAAGTGCCAACTCTAGTAGAAAAACTGTGCCCTCAGAAACTGGGGATCTCATCAAACAATGTATACTTTTGATCCTTGTGGTTTTTCTCTTGGATCAAAATCATACTGGAACCATTTCACACAAGTTGAGCGTGCTCTTTTGGAATTCTGCTTAACCGCACTAGGCTTTCAGTAAGCACAGGTGAAAGCTTAAAATTGGCGAGCTTGTCTGGATCATTAAGTGGTGTTCATGTTGAAATAAGATAATAGAAGTTAACACCAATGACAAAACACCTGCCGCATAGCAAAGTGTAGTCTCTGGGCCAGATAAAATCTGTCTTGTGTATATATGTGGTTCATATTGAGCATTCAGTTTTTACAGGATATAAGCTATCATCCTTGTGACTTCCAACTGCGACCTGGTTGTAACCAAGGTAATGATGATCCTTAAGCATTTATGTCTGTGAACTCGTTAGCTCTGAACTTTTTCAGCTGTAAAGACCATCAGATGTCATGTGATTGTCAGCTGTGATCGTCTAAATCTGCTCTGTTTTAAAAGGTAGCACAGAGAAGGAGGTGTAGGGGAACTAGGTGTGCTTCTAGGGGAGATCTTGTAAGAGGAGGGAGAGCAGGGCACCTCAAGTTTGAGAGGTAATAAAGGTTGTTGAAGAAATAAGGTACAGGCGCAAGGCTGTGTCTGAAGAATGGTTTATTCTTCGGTGGGTGAATTTGACTGCAATGTACAGGTACAAGAGTAACTGCAAGTTGGTCTTTGTGGGCTGAGTTGTACCTTTTTGTGGCTGTCTCCTTTGGTAGCTGGTACAGCAAAATTTAAGGAATTCTGGTTGATGGGTCTTAGTTAAAAGTAGAATTAGGGTGAAATGCACGTGACGTCTCTTATTTATGTTACTAGTTGTTTGGTTTTTTTTTTCAGATAACTAGTCCACCGGGTTGTGGCAAAACTCAGTTTTGTATTATGATGAGTGTTCTGGCTACGCTACCTGTAAGCATGGGAGGACTGGAAGGGGCCGTTATATACATTGACACGGAGTCTGCATTCAGCGCTGAAAGGTGAGATGAAAAGTTCCAAAATACACACTTTCAACTTTTTTATCACCTTTTATCTTGGAGCCTTCAATTATTTTCTGAGCAATAATTAAGTATTTGTCAAATAAATACATGTGGTAGTTATTAAGCGTTCATCTGATACATGCAGTTATTCCATAGATGACGGAATAAATTTCAATAGAATGATTTGCTCACCTTCCTAATTTGTTTGATGTTGCAGATTCCAGTTGTATGCATGTGGTAGTTACCACTCTTCCCATATAAATTGTTGAAATAATTCTGCAATGTTTCATCAAAGGTAGCTCTAATTTACATTATTAACTACCAACTCCTCTAACCTATGAGGAATTTGATGGTTTTCTTGAGATATCTATTCCTTTGTTGCTGTTTGGAATTAGTGAATTCAAAAGTTAAGGGTCTGGGGGAGGACAAGGAGTACAAGAGTCTGATCCTTGTTTGTGTAGAAAAAGGGGCAGAAAAAGGTTCATCAAAATAATTTGTGTATTTCAGGTGACTTAGTGGTTATAACCCTGGCCTGCACCTGGAGTATCTGCATTGCTTAATCATTTGAAGCTATCATAGATGAGAAGGTGGAGCTTCTAGCCCTGTTTTTGTCAAGTTAAATTTTGGAAACATCTAAATTACTTTAAACTAGAAATGTAATATATATAAGAAAAAAGCTTCAAGCTATGACTCTGCTAATTATGGTGCTCTGTTCTTACATTCCACTTAATTTTTCTTTTGGATATTGAAAAGAAGTAGGACCTAATGGGTGGGTTAAGACTTGTTACTTAGGAGTGAATGCTAAAAAAAAGGAAACGGGTGAAGGTGAAAATGAAACTGCTGAAAATAGAGTAGGATGTAGAAAGGAAACATGGTTAAAATAACGTTGTTACTAAGGATGAGAATATGTATTAGTCATATTTGGTATTGCTCAGCTGGAAATGATAGCTAAACACAATTGCAAAGACAATGTTCTGTCCCAGGAAGTTCTGCAGGACAAGTTTAGATGTAGTAAGTAATGTATCTGATGAATGAGATTCAGGCCATTGTAATGAAATTGCTTGCTCAGGATAGGTATATTAACATTCAAACTTGGTGTTTCTTTCAAATGATTTTTATTTAGTTTAAAAATAGGGTTTTTTCTAAAATAGCTTTAATGTTTTGGGTTTTAATGAAATGAGCCCAAGTAAAAAGCATCAAGATAACCAGTAAGCTGTGCCAACGGGTGTCATCCACTAGATGCCACTCTTCGCAAGCTGTAGGTGGTGGAATATATCTACTTACAATACAAACAATGAAGTATTTGCTATTATTAAAAACCAAAATCTTCGTTGTGGAAAAAACTTACAGTGCTCAGATTGTAATTATGAGTTTCTAAGTTAAATTCCTGAATCATTTATTTAAGGATCTAGATAAAACTGCCTTCGTTCAGAGGGGTGGAACTTCTTTCCACTGATTTATGAAGAGTTTTCAGTGTTTCTAAAACGTATGCTGTTTAGTGTCCTTGATGATTATATGTATAAAATCTCATTTAACTGAAAATGTTTGCCTCTCATCAGTAAATTGTTTAGTTTTACATCTGTTTGAGGTTTTTTTTCAAAGCATAGTTTCTGAATAGAGAAGTATTTTGACAACATATAATAAATATCCAACTTCCTCTGACTTCTGGTGTTATCACCAGTTATCTGATACGCTTCCTTAGTCTACTCTGATACTATACAGTGGTATGTTTAACAGTTGTAATTAATGGTTTTGAAGAATCCTGAATTTGCTAATAAGGTAATGGAGAACACTTAATCCCGTGTCCAGTCCTATCAGCGAAGCAGCCACTTGAACTGTTCAGTCACTTCATTGGATCAAGTCATGCCAATTGTACCTGTGCTGTCTGAATAGGTGGATGTTCAGTTGTGAACCTGGCACCTGGAGCCTCAGTCACTTGGTGACACAATACTGATTTTTTTTTTTCTATATTCTGAAAAGTTTGTTTTCTTAAGATCTTATAAGCCCCCTTTTTACAAAGAGGAAACTGACACCATGGAAATGGTTTCAGTGAAAAAGTCTCCCATCCAAATGACCTTGTTTTTAAGGAGAGGTTATCTGTGAAAAGATTTTCACTTTGACAGCCACACTTTCCATATGTGTACTCCTTGTATAAGTACTTGCAGTTGAACTGGGCTCTGTTCTTTGCAGTTCTGCTTCCATGTTGGCTGGATCTTGTTGCTTGTTATCAGTTTGTTAAATTACTGTGGTGGCACAAGGTCTGCTTTATGATTTCACTGCAAAATAAGAGTGGAAGGGAGAATTGTTTGAGTTGGAGAGTACGCTTGTTTAAATGAAAATAAGATTTAGATATATTTAAAATAGGAGAATGCTTGGCCATTGAGTGGAACCTCTTGTATAAAACTCAAGAACTTTGCGTTCAGTAAATATAAAAGTTGCAGTTTCCTTCTACAGGAGATACGCGGTTCCTTTGTGTACAGACACATGGTGTCTTTCTCTAGTGTGCCACTGACTTCAGCGTTGCTGGGAAGAGAGCCTGACTGCTCTGACTTCCAGTATTTCAGTCTGACTGCTACAGTATGCTTCTCTTTTGAAAAAGATTTCCAGTATTACTTGGTAGCTGCTTATCATTTAGAGGTTTGCTCTCTTTGCTTTGTGAATACTTGATGCCGCCTTATCCCACCTTATTCCTTTTTCAGTGTTACACCTTCTGTGTTTTTGATAGGTTGATTGAGATAGCAGGAAACAGATTCCCTTCTTATTTTGACTCGGATGAAAAGCTGTTCTGCATGACTCGTAGCATTCACTTGTATCGAGAGCTGACCTGTGGCAGTGTACTGAAGAGGTATTCTTTTCCAGAGTTGTTTGTTTGTTTTGGTTTTGTTTTTCTTTAAAGACAATTTTGACTGTATCGTCTATAACAATATTTGGTTTATATCAAAGTTTTATGAAGACTGATTAATTTATTTGAGGCCTTTTTATGTTGATAACAGCATGGTCTCCAACAAAGTAAAGCTGCTACAGAAAGACTCACATTGCTCTTATTGTTTCGCAGTGTGTGACTAATCCGCTTGATGTTTTCTAATTTCTGATAGACAATTTCTGTATGATCTGATTCTTGTAAGGCCTTAAAGGGGAGTGTTCATGTGAGAGGTCTTACCTTGTCTTGGATTGTGGAAAGACCATAGCATAAGAGTTACATTTCCCATGAAGTAGGTGTTTGCTCCTCCAGAGCAGTTTACTTCCTGGAAGACTGGGACTTCTCCAGCAGTGAGAATGAGGAATCATTTCACAGACATCAACCTGAATGCCGCTGTTGGCAGTGTTGTATTGTCATGTTATGTTAATTTGTGAACACGTTTTGCTACAAAGGTTAAGTTCTATTTTAGCATCATTTTGTGTACTTTATGTTATTAAGAGAATCATTCTAAGAAAGTTTCTTCTCTTAGTGCAGCTTTATCAGAGAACAGCTAGAAACATATTATCAACAGATTAGGTTTGGCATGCTGTCTTTGGAGGTATACAGGATTTGACCTTCTGCATATATGGACACCAAGGGTGTTGGTGTTGGCAATGGGATGCTGCTGGTATGAGCAACGGGGCATAGTTTGTGTTCACGTCTTGTCTGCCCTTCAGAGGTTGTACAGCATAGTGTTGCTAACTAGAGGTTCTTCCAAACCTCTCTTTTGGAGGGGTGCTTCTTTGGGTTATGTGGCCCACTGGAGCCTTAGATTATTTTCCAGATTTCTTCACTACATGGAGATGTTGGTGGAGGTGGTGTGTGGGGGGGAAAAAGAGGGGTTGACTTTCAGCTTATTAATATTTTATTTAAACAATTCCAGAGTTATAAAATGGTTCTATTCTGTAAATAATGTTATCAATGACTGGGTTTTTTGGGTTTTGTTTTGGTTTTATTTTTAGGATTATGTCTTTGGAAGAAGAAATTATTTCAAAGAAAGTTAAACTCATAATAATTGACTCTGTTGCTTCAGTTGTCAGAAAAGAGTTTGACACAAAACTCCAAGGCAACCTGGCAGAAAGAAGTAACTTTTTGGCTAGAGGAGCATCAATGTTAAAGAATTTGGCAGAGGAGTTCTCAATACCAGTAAGTTCTTCCTCCTTTTCTAAGTTTTTGCCTTACAATATTAAGTAATAAAGTATGCGAAGAATGAAAATGACAGGAAGATGAAAACCAGAAAAAGCTTCTAGCAGGAATCTTCAAGCAGGTACCAGTTGGAAAATCATTGAGGAGTGGGGGAACACTGTTCTGCTTGTTGGGGGTGTTTTTGGTTGGGTATTTATCTACTTATTAGGATTTCAAATAAGGGTTTACAAGATTTTTGAGCTGTGTTTCAGTTCTTTGTTTTCTGTTTTGATTTTTTTTCTTAAATCTTATATTTTATTTTTCTGCCATTAGATATTGCTTACCCCGATGGTGCCCTTCTAAAGCAATGGTTACTCTAACTAGTGTGCACTTTGACTGGGTGAAGATCTTTTTCTGCCTCTATCCCATCTACTTAAGTTCATAGATCCTCACTGGAAAGTAACACGTGCCATCCCCAGAGTGAAATTTAAATAATGTGTAGTAAACAAAATCTCAATCCATCTTTTGAGATGAGAGGAAAAAAACCACTAAGCATATTCATTGAATGACAACATCTTAAGCCACTCAAAGTGTTGTGTGATGGTAAATTTTTGCATGATTTAATAGTTTGTAACATTGTTTTTGTTAGTGAAGTATAAAGAAACGCAAAGCTATTTTTCTTCTGTATGGGTGTTAATAAAATGTAAGTTGTTTCTCAGAATGTGAAATATGCTGCCCAGTTTCCTTCTAACTTGGCAGTAAGCCCAGTTCCACCCTATACTGTTTAAATGATGCCTGGGGAAGAGGCAGCACAAGGTTTGGATGGTGTCTGGTCTGTTTTCAGGCCACCTGGCAGCCGTGCTGGTGACTGAGCTGTCACTGAAGCCTTTTCCTCCATGAAGCACTATGCATCATGGTCCCTTTTTCCCCTTCCCTGCACACAGCCCTGACCAAACCCTACGTTCTTCTGCCAGGTTTGGTTGAAACTAGCCAAAAGTGATTGCTAGAAAATGAGGACGTTTTGACTATAAATTGAACAAAAAGCCCTTTATTTTTGAAATCCAGTGACTATGTAAAGCTATATAAAAAGTTTGTTACATTGATCTGTTTTGGAGCGTGTTAATACTTGAGAGCATTTGGATCTGAATGTTTTCAGTTACAATGTGTGTTGATGCTGTCTGCCAGGTTACATATTTAAGCAGCAGTAATGTTTCTTGTCTAGTTTCCTGACTTCCTTAGCTTTCTTAAAAAGAACAGAAAACAAAATACGCTTTGGATTTTCTTTCTTCTTTTCTTCCATATTCATAGGAAGCTATTATTACTAAGTGGTATTCAGTCAAAGTAGTTCAGTGTTCATGCTGGTTGAGAGAGAAGCGATGTCTCCATTTCAGTGAAGAGCTAAAACTAAAACCTGATATGACTATAATTGTTCTAGAGATTACTGTTTTACTGTCTGTTTAGTTTATGAACACTGTTATTTATAGAACCTGGTCTTCTGGTTGTTAGTACTTGAGAAAACGTGTGAAGCTGGCTATACATCTCCATGGAAAGAACTCAAAGTGGCAGTTGCAAAACCAAACTGCTTTAAGCATTCTTTTAAATGTCAAATTGAGACTGAAGATGAAACTTGCACTGTAAATCCTGAAGGCTAACTGAATTACAGCCCTGGCTGTCCTCTATACTTCTGTCTGGGTTGTGTTCTTAGAGCTGTGAAGAGCTTCCTTATTTATAATAAGCACGTTGATTATCATTACTAGCAGCAAATGTATAATAGTATCTTTATATAATAAACTGTTTTTTCTGAGAATATGAAATAGCTTGGAAAGAGATACTTTCATCTCTCACTTGTGATTTATAGTGCAAATGAAAGACAAACCTTAGGTAACTGTTCTCTAATGTTTTTATTTGCTATGCTAAATAAATTAACAGTAGTCAAGAAGCCCGTAATCTCCACAGGTAATATTTTTCCCCTTTAGATGACACATGCTTCATTTAAAAACTAGGAATTCACTTTAGCAGTATTGATAATATGACAGCAATTAAAACTGTCATAGTCCATTTTCACACTCGGTTCTCACATTTTTGTTTCAGTGCTTCTGTCTCATGCGTTCTGCTCTGTAAACTTTATACACAAGATTTTCATTTGCTTTGGAAGGCTAAATGTTTAGCTAAATATATATTTGTTTTTAGGTTGTGTAAGGTTTTTTTAGGTTGTGTAAGGTTCAAATTACTTGACATCTACAGTGCCTTTTCTGCTGTCTTTGGTTAAATGTGTGTAATTGTATCATCTCAGCTTCCTGCAGTAAAGTCTCTCAAGACTGAAGTGCTTCTGTTGGCAAAGAGAATATTCAAACTGTTCATTTTCTTTTTTTCTAAGTGAGTATTTCCATTTGGTCTCATCCTTGGTTCTGTTTTATTCTGTTTCCACATAGAGAGGAGCTGACAAGGAACCATCTAGCTTTGCTATTGCTGTTCTGATGTTTGAAAATATTAGTTTATGGAGAGCTAAACAAATTCCAACATGGAAGATTTCTGAAGAAAAGTTGTTTAAATGCTGTTTTGCTTTGAATTGGTAATAAATATATAGAAAGCTTGGGGAAAAATGGGTAGTTGATTTGTTGTTACAGTGTATAGCAACACTGTGTGCTGACTTTTCCAAAACTGTGGAGATACAGTCACATTCACTGGGAAGTCTAATGTATCTGGACTGCAAGCTGCTAAAATGCAAACTTTGTTTTTATACTTTGCTATTTAAAAAGTATTTTTAATACCAGCAGTACAGAAGCAGTAATTGAATTATCTTTGCAAATTGTTTAAACCTAAAACAAGAACTTTTCTCTACTTCCAAAACTTAGACAACTGGTTCCATTTTGATGTTTTCTAAAAGAGAAATATCTTGTATGTTATACCGCATCAAAATATGTGTTTCTTTAATGAGGAGCTAATCTTATCAGAAGAAAACATTTTGGAGCTGAGTTACCAAAATTTTACTAGCCATGTTTAGGCCAGATGTGGTTCAAACAGTTTCTAGTGGTGAGAATTCAGTGGGAAGTATGGGTCCTTTTCTGTTGAGCTGCTCATTTATGTAAAGCACCTTGTTGCTCAAGTTTCAAGCATATTTTGTGTTTGTGTATGTGTGTGAACTTGAATGCTCTTCCCAACTGTGAATAGAAGGATTTTTACATCTCTACATAATCATGCTGAACTCCTGGCCATTTGCTTGCTACAGAAGGTGGAGGTTTACCTAAAAATGTAATTCTCCTTTTAATATGGGGCTGATTCTTGCTTTCTCTTCTGTCTCTCTACCCGCCCCCTTCCATATGAGTGGCTTTGGTGCTTTTGTTTCCATGAACTCCGTATATTTCTCTAGGGAGCAGCATGAAAGTTAAAAGACTTTGTGACTGCTTAGACACAGAATAGTGCTTCTGAACCTGCCGGATCTTATTGAGGTAATCCACCAGCTTCTTGGAGAAACTGAATTGTCCTTCTATGAACTCAGTAGGATGAAAAGATAACTGGTGTCTTATACCGGTCATATTGTGAATGTTATCCAGGGAAGCATAAATATTTAGAATAATGAGATATTGCAGAATTTGCTGACTTCTGTTACTCTGTTTGAATAAAAGAAACATTGAATAGCCCCAACTTTGTTTTGAGCCATGGAAAACAGTAGTTAATTTGTTTCCTAAATCGGGAATGTTACTTCCAAAACTAACTTTCTTCTAGTAAAGAACAATTCTTGTTCTCTTCCAGATGTTTCACTCCCTCTGCACCAGAATTCAAGTTGGTGTTCATGTCCCCATTAAGTAGTGAACTGAGCAGCATTAGAAAATTGTTTGTGCTAGCTATATCAGAGCTTCTGGTTTTGAGCATATTCTCTTTGGTGCAAAGAGGATACCTAACCTTGTTCAGTATGCTTCACCAGTTTAACTAGCAGTCTGTGAAACACAACATTTTACACTGAGACTTCCTCCCATGTTACACTTAGCAATATTTTTATGCCCAGTACTAAATTTATAGCTGTGGTTTTCTAAATTAAATATTCTAGTGCTACCATTTGTTTTCTTACAGAAACCTGCTTAAAAAAAACAAGTGTCAGAATTTCACATGAGTGTGGAGTTTTTATCAACTTTGTATTATTGTTTAATTGGGAAAACAGAATGGTTAAAGGGGACTTACAGACCAGAGTTCGTTCTTTGCCCTCACTGGAACTTCATAAAGCCAGTTTTTGCTGGCAGGTTATTTATGTTTCCATTATCCCTCCACTCCAGAGTACTGAGCAAAAAGTAGTTTTGATAAAAGGGAGTTAATTCAACCGCTCAGTGTTGTTGCAGTGGCAGAGTTACATGGTTTTGTCTTCTCCTGTGGCTGTTAAAAATTATTCTCAGAAGGCACAACTTTGTTTTAGTTTAAAATGACTGGTTAAAATGTAGTTATAACTATCTTCAGTACTGCTGCCATCTGTGTACTTTTTTATATGTGTCTGGAGAGTATAAGTTTCTGCAGTTTATGGCCCAACACAGTGTTCCCTTTGGACTGGCTGTGCTCATAAAATGTTTAATACTGCTGAGGAAAAGGAATGAGAAATGGTGGAGCAATGTTTCCTGTTTTCATGTGGTGGTGAAGTACAGAAAAGGAGATATTTTAGTTATATGATACTAGAATTCAATTTTCTTTTTAAGTATTCCATCCATTGCTTTTTCCATTTTACAGTGCAAGTGACTTTGCCAAAAGCTATCATTCTGCACAATTGCACATATGAAATTATGTAGAAAGAAGGCAGCAGCATTAATGTAAAGAAGAGGGAGCTGAGGAATGAGATTTCATTACCAGATTTGGTTTTGATCTGCTATATGGTCATGGACAGTGCTTGCTATAAAGGAGGGCAGACGCTTTCCCCGGTATCTGCCTTGACTTGAATTTCTGAAAGACTATCCAAAATAAATAATCAGTTTCTTACATCCTCTGACCCTCATTCTCGTTACACTTCTCTGGGTTCCCTTCAGCTGGTGTACAAAGTC